AAAAAAAAAAAAAAAAAAAAAATATGGGTTAACTAGGTTATAAGAGTGAGTTGGAAACAAGCCTAAGCTAAAGATCTAACTTTCATAATTAATATTAAGTCTCTGTGTTGTTACTTGGGGACTGGCGATCCAAAGATAGTCCAATAAGAAAGCTTGCTACAGGCAGCAGTACATCAAAAACGTGTGTGAAAAGGCTCTGTCCAAGCCTCCCAGAGCAGGGTCACTCCCAAAGAGAAAAGTCAAACTCTCTCTCTCTCTCTCTCTCTCTCTCTCTCTCTCTCTCTCTCTCTCATTCTTTTGTTTGTTTTGTTTTGTTTTTGTTTGTTTGTTTGTTTCGAGACAGGGTTTCTCTGTGTATCCCTGGTTGTCCTGGAACTCGTTCTGTAGACCAGGCTAGCCTCAAACTCACAGAGATCCACCTGCCTCTACCTTCAGAGTGCTGGGATTAAAGATGTGCACCACCACTGCCCAGATCAAAATCAAAATCTCTTGGGTCAGTTGCTCGCAGCAGATTCTGAAAGTGCCTAAGCTCTTTCTCTTCCTCTGGAAAACTTGAAAAATTGGCCAGAAACTACCCCTTACATTAAAATCTGAACCCTTGGTGACCATCATCCTGTATTTCAGAGAAGAGGGAGAATGCATTCACTTAGCAAGGCCTGTAAAAGGAGAAAGGAAGTTAAGAGGCACTAAGAAATGCTGGGGGAGTCGCTCAGTAGTTTGTTCCAGAATTGCTTAGAACAAGCTACCCACTGTGACGTTACAGAGGAGACTGACCCAGCTGGAACCTGGATGCCTATCACAGGCCCTGAGAAGTATGTTAAAAGGGAAAGGCAGAGCTGGAAGAAGAGAAGGACTTGGCTTACAAGCGAGGCCTAAGCTCTTTCCTTTCCACTGCTAGGGAAAGAGACGTCTTCATGCCTGTGTTCATGTCAATACTACTCACGATAGCGGAGGGAGATGGCCGTCAGTCCCAGGGTCCAACTGACAGATGGATAAAGAAACTGGTACATAACTACCATGGAATACTATTTAGCATGAAAATGAGGGACACAATAACTGGGTCTGAAGGTCATCATATTAAGTGGAAAAGGGGAACACCTATTGAAGAGAACCCTGACATGTTCTTACTTGGTATATAGATGCTCAAGCAGTCCAGGGTATGATAGAAGTAGAGCGTAACCATGGCAATGACCAGATGTTAGGGATGGGGGACTAGGTCTGGAGAGATGCAGAGTAAAGGATACAAGATTTCATGGGGCTGGGGAGATGGCTCGGTGGTTAAGAGCACTGGCTGTTCTTCCAGGGGACCTGGGTTCAATTCCCAACACCCACACGGCAGCTCACAACCGTCTTTAACTCCAGTTCTAGAAAATCCAACCAACTCACGTAGACATACATGCAGGTCAAACACCAATGCACACAAAATAAAAATAATCAATTTTTAAAAGATTTCAGTTAGGATGAAAAGGTTCAAGAATTTATTGTATAACATAGTGATTATGGGGTTTAGAGTATTAAGTAATTAAAAGTTGCTGCCAATAGATTTTCATATTCTAGCCACAAAATAATGGTATATGAGATGATGCAAATGCCAATTTGCCTAATGTAGCCATTTCACATTGTGTGCAGATTTTAAAGTATCAGGTATGCCTTAAGTATGTATAATCTGTATCTGTCAATTAAAAAAATAATAATAAAGGCCCCGCCTGGCACATCTTTGATTCATCAGAAAAAGAGAAAAAGCAGAATTGCTCATCTGAGCTGGAGGATAAGCTAAGAGCTTGTAAGTGGAGGTACCCTTGGGCTGGGCCTTACCAAACACAAGGAACGATAATCCCAGGTCTTAAATTCACCAGTGAAATGTCTTCAACCCCTCCAGGCAAGAAACAAACCAAAGAGGATGGGCCAAGGCATAAACTGGAATCAGAAGCACCTGGAACCCAGCATGTGGGAAAAGCAGCATGTATGTGCACCAACAGGTCGTAGTCAGAGCACAGTAAGGGACATAGCGAGCCCCCGGGGGCAAGAGACCGAAAGCCCTCATCCACATGCTTACTCTGGCCACTGTGCATATTCTTTGGCTTGTTGTGACACCACCTGGCCGGCAGATTGTAAAATTGTACTGTGGGGTGGGCAGAGGTGAGGGAGACAGCTTTCTGCACACTTGCTACAAGCCACCTCACACAGGCAGCCGGGTGTGGTCTGCACAAACTGGTTCTCAGAGGCCGAGTCCTCGACTCCTTTGTCTATTCACAGGAGTGAAAAGAGAGATGGCCTGCTCTGCTCTGCTCAGTAACAGAGGGGTAAGGTCCTCCGTGGCCGCATCAAAGTTGCTGCCGTCTGCTTGTCAATGGAGAGAGGCAGGCAGCGCGATGAGTGCGCACAGGCAGGGTTTTTCCTGTTTGCCCCTGCAGTGTTATATATAGGACCGTTTCTGAAATAGTAATCAGCTCTGCTTCCTAGTTGAGGCCTCGTTAACAGCTGGCTGGTATTCATTCTCCAAGCCTCCTGGGCAGAGTTGACAGTAATCGATGACCGGCTACCCACTAGCTAGGCGTTGAGTCCTGAAGGGCATCACAGGGAAACAACCCTCAAGGGGACCCTGAGAAAGCAAGTTTCCCAGCCAGAGTGCATGAGAGTCAGACAAGCCCTCCTTGTGACATTTGGTGCCTGGCACTTCCCTGGTCTTATTGAAAGTGGGGCATCATTACTGCCTCTCATTTGTTTTCCTCCGATGCTGGGAGTGGAGCCCCAGCCCCTGAGCATGGAAGAAAGTACTTAACCGTTGGGCACCAGCCCCAGTCTGGGACATTGCTTTTAAATTCCACGTGACTTCACACGGCTGGGCAGTCTGTTCTTAGGCCTTCTTTCCTTAAAAGTTGGATACTCCGTACAGAAAAGCTGGGAGGACCAGCGAGAAACCAATACAAGTGATTGTGTTTAATGGTTGGGGATAGAAGCAAAGCTCATTTCTATAGTTCTGACCTTTTAAAGCATTATCACTTAGTTAGTTATTCAAAAGATAAAACAGGGCCAGCCTGCAAGACAGCCGAGCAGGTAAAGCCACTCACTCGCCTCCAAGTCTGATAACCTGTGTTCATTCACCAGAATCCCCATGGTAAGACAGAACTGATTCCCACAATTTGTCCTTGGGCTCCCACACATACTGTGGCATGAACACACACTCCCTGCCCCCCCCCACACACACACACACACACACACACACACACACACACACACACACACAGAGAGAGAGAGAGAGAGAGAGAGAGAGAGAGAGAGAGAGAGAGAGAGAGAGGAGAGATGCATCTATTCAGGCATTCACACACACACAAATACAATAAATATATTTTTAAGAGGCCACAACAACTTTTTTTTTCTCACAACTTTTAAAGTTGAAGCCCCAGATGGACAGCTGCTGGCCATGGGGTTTCTTCGTGGGGGCAGCCCAGCTTCCCAGCTCCCTCACCTCGTGACCACAGCATCACTTCTGTGGCTCCTGTCCCTAAGCATTAGTGGTCTGGCCCAACCTTTTGCTTTGTAGATGGGGAAAGGAAGGTCCAAGGAACCTGGCTACCTTCCTTTCCATAGGACACTTCCCAAAATAAAGGAAGAAAGAAAACAGAACAAGACAATCCTCTTGAAAGATTTATTTTTAATTAAAAAATAAAAGTTATCTTAACGTATCTGCACTTGCAGCTCCAGGGATGGCAACTTAATGAAGCAGAAAAGCCAAGGCTCCTAAATTCTTTGTCGTCTGACCATCTTAGAAAGGTACAAAGGCACACGTCTCCAAACCGACAAGCAGAGAGGTCCCTAGGAACTCACAGCTCCCTCCAACTCCTTTTTTGCCTGTCTCCAGCAGTTTTCCCCACCCCACCCTCCAAAAAGAACCCCCCAAACATTCAATTCTCTTAAAACTACAGAAATAAGCGCTGAGTCAGCGAGGAGCCTGGGCAGGCTTCTCAAGCCGGCCCACCTACCTCTCCCCGCTCTGCTGACTGGCTGCCCAGAGGGAAGCAGGGAGAGAGCAGCCCTCCCTGCAGGCCAGCCCAGCTAGCTTGTCACACTGACAGGCTGCCGTATCCAACCCCACAGCCATCACCCAGCCTGGGCAAAGAGCTCCAAGGCGCTATCTCCCTTACTCAAGGGTATCTGTGGCTAACACAGCCTTGTAAGAAGGGCAAGTCCCAAGGCAAACAAGTCTTCATCAAATGCTCAAGATGAAAATGCCGCTGGGAGGAGGGAGATGGGTGGCGCTCCACCCAGGTAACTAGGCTTCTCTCCTGAGTCTCCTTGCCTTCTCTCTCTTCCCTTATTCCCAGTCTCCCCCTCCCCCCAACGAACTTTAGTTTAGCTTAACGGTGGGGGTTCAGAAGAAGCTTCTGGCAACTCCTGGGGCTGGTGAGGTGGTTCTGTCACCTCCAGGGGAACATGGCATGCTTTGGGTTCCTGGGTATCACAGGGCTCCTCGTGTCCCTGCAAGGACTCCAGGTGCTCTTGGCTCTGGGCCTGGCTGTTCATCTTCTCTTCCGCTTCAATCTCCTCTGATGTGGGAATGGAGTTCTTCTTGGGACGCCCCTTAGGTTTTGTGGGTGCTTCCTGTCCACCTTTAAGAACCTATGTGGGAGAGAGAGAGAGAGAGAGAGAGAGAGAGAGAGAGAGAGAGAG